TAGAAATAAAATTTGGCTTTAACCTGCTACAATATGTTCACTTTATGAAGGGATACTTTCAGTTTCATTTTGTAATTCTTGCACTATACAATTACAAGGAATACAATATTTTCACCCGGAGTTGTGACAGCAAATTATATAGCAATTTAGCGCAATTTATATATATATATATGCTACATGATTGCTGGTTAATTCATGCTGCCATCATACAATTTAGATAATTTTGAATTTTACCCACACAATGAGGATGATAATAAATTATAACAATAGCAATAATAATAATGGGGCTCTTAGCTCTTGTGATTTAGGGCGATAAAGTATCTGTCATCTATGAAAATATTCTAGCAAGTGAGCCGACAAGAAATGGCCACTCTGTCACGGAGCAGGACGGTAAGGAAGGCCAAACTCAGGATCGACTGGAACATATATAGGGCCAGCTCGGACTTGGACTATGACTTTTCAGCGTAGCGTAGACTTTATATTATATGAGACAAGAGTCAGTCAGAACGATGATGTCCATGCTGCTTTGCCAGGAAAAGATTAATGTTAGGAAAGTTACAACACGTTGAGAGGAGGAAGTCAAAGGAGCAAATAAAGATACACATCAAACCAGACATATGCCAGATTGATGAAAAAATTTGCATCCTTATAATACTTATACTCCTGAGCTGTATTTATTTTTGTTTAAAAAAAAAAAAAATAGAGAGAGAATGTGTAAATCGCAAAGAAACATTAATTGGTAAACAAACAAAAATGTTTAAAAACTCTGCATTGACTTCCAGTTGAATCCAGTATAAATTTCTACCATCTGTTCTAAATGTCTTAATGATAAAGCTCTATTATATCTCTCTGAGCTTTTAACACTGTAGGTTCCATCTCGTCAGATACAGTCATCCACAGATGCAACAAAATTCAGAGCCCCTAGAATGAAATAACGATCTTTTGGCGAGAAAAGCTTCTCATTTTTTGGCCCTTAAATCTGGAACATCTTGCTCCAGGATCTCAGAAGTAACAAATTTTGATATATTTAAGCGATTGCTCAAGACCCACTTGTTTAATTCTTAGTTATAGTGTTAGTAAGTGCTAATGCGTGTTGTTTTTTACTGCATTGTCCTTTCGTAGTTAAAATGGTTTTGAAAGTTCTTTATGTGGTTGAGCTGGTTTTTCTTGTTTCTGTGAAATATTTTCTTTCGTGAGAATGATCATGTGATTGGTGTAAAGCGCCTAGAGCTTATACTAGTATGGGAAAAAGTGCTAAAAAATTCAATTTATTATTATTATAAATCAATTCAAAAACTAAAAACTACCTACAGAGTATCAAACCGACGCCACTAGAAAAAAATAATAATTTTGAAACCACCATACTTTTCTTTATTTCAACAAGTTCAAGTTCTGTCTTGAAGAAATAAATTGAGCATAAGGGTAGAATCTTAACCTGCGCCTGCCATTTTACTAAATGCTAAATTGAATGAATGACTAAGACCGGGCAAACAAAAAAGTGTCTGACACAAAAGCGAAAGGAAGAATCACTTTGCCCTGCTATTATTTCACACATTTATACAAAAATAAAGCCCCCCAAAATCAAACAAACAAAAAAACCCTCAAACACTGTGATTTTGAAAAATATTTTTGTCTGATTCGATATTGATCGCAGTGGACCTGCAATGGAAATCCTTTACAAAATATTAAAATGCTAATTTAAATGGTAACAGAAACGGCAATCACACATAGATTACATCTTGTAACAAGAGTGCAGAATGAGTCAAATTCATTTAATTTATGTTTATGGCCTAATTATCGTAATAGCATAGGAGAAGTCCAAATCTACTTAAATTGGAATAAAAAAATTATATTAGCCATTGAAGCACATGACATGTTCTAAAAGGAAAATTTTCCCTCTGTTGAGAACTACATCATGTGGAATGAAACCACATGATATACTTAATCGAAGTCTACTTTTATTATTGGACAATTTTTTTTTATCCAGCAAAGAAATGCAGTGGACTGAGGAGTGGATGGTGCATAATATTGAGGAGGAAAAGACAGTGTTCAGTAAGTATCTCTGGAGCAGCATTCACATAAAAGTCCAAAAGTGTGTGAGAGCCCAGGAAGGGATGAGATAAACAGCTGAAATTATACATTAACCTTTCGTTTCTTCGAAAGTCAAAACAAAGGAGGCTATTGAAAGTGTGTCTCTATGAAGGCTCAGGCTTGAGTATGATAATTATAATTTGAAAATTTCTTTTGGCTTCACCATAAATAAAAAAAACCAATTGGCAAAAAATGAACGAAAAAATATAGGAGTTTGTATCCAGGTGGTGAAAATGGGCAGCCTTCGCTTGGCCTGACTTGGACATTCTGCCTGGCCTGCAAGGTTTTCCAACCCATAAGACAGAGACTTCATATTGACATGTACTTCAAAGGACTTTTCTGTACATCCATTTCTGTGATTCTTCTCCAGGTTCCACTTGGTCTTCCCCTTGATCTCTTACCCTGTGGATTCCAATCTTTATTATGCAGCTGTCTGATTTCCAGAGAGTAGGTCCAATCCATCGCTACCGCCTTCTTCCTTCCTCATCTCTGACTGGGATCTGTCTTGTTTTCCTTAACACTTCCTCGTTAGTGACCATGTCTGTCCATCTGATCCTCAGTAATTGTCTTAGACACTTGTTCAATAAAACCTGGATCCTCTGTATTCAAATCTGTGTTGCGTTCCATGTTTCACACCCATACAACAGGACTGACTTCACATTTGAACAGAAAATCCTCAGCTTTGTTCAAAGTGAGATATCTCTGGTCTTTCAAGTAGCATCAAGTAACAAACATTTTGCTATCTCAATGCCCCAGTGGTAGGCCTTGGTATAGGCCGGCCGGCTGGCGCTGGCAGCCCAGGCACACGCGAGAACGCACGGCCGGCACTGCCTGATGTATCCGGCAAACTTTCACCCCTGTTTGTATATATATTGAAGCTCCAATCTGCAAGAATTAATTTTCTGGATTTTCGTGAACAGCCAGAATTGAATGCAGAATAGTACCCTAAGCACCCATCGATTCAAAATAATAAGCTGCTGGGATTTCCTAATTAAAATCAAGGGTCAACACGGGACAAGAAAAATTTTAGGGTAGCTCTTGTATGGCCTCAAGGTAAAGGTGTTCACCTCTTATTCAAAGGTCCCGGGTTCGAATCAGGGCAGCGACAGAGGTCCTGAAAGAAGGCACACTTCCCCCTTTTCTTTTTGCTTCTTTTCTTACAAACAATATTAAATTCTTAACTGACCTCTTTCTCTTGTTCACATTTGTTTTGAAATCTTTCAAACACCGCAAACGCATGGGCATAGCCACAGTCATATATCATTAAGTAAAAAATCAACTATCGTGTACACAGCAGCACTAGATCTGCGCAAGACATCGGCCAGCTCGCCATCACTTCTAGATCTATATTTTATCTAAAAACGAAGTGTATACACACCCGGTAACCGGGAACTAAATCACGAAGTATACAGACCCTGTAGGGGAACTCTTTTGTGATTTTGGAAAGTTTCAGCGCCCAGACCCGGTAGTGTGTGTGTGTGTGTGTGTGTGAGCAGGGGAAAGTGTATGCTAGCAAAATGTATGACATACCCCAGTTGGCAGGAGGGAACGAGAGAAAGATAGAGTGGGAAATAGGTTGGGAGAAAAAAGACAGAGACAAAAAAAGAAAAAGAGAATGCGAGCGATACACGGAGTGAGAAAGAAAGAAAGAAAGAGAGAGAGAGAGAGAGAGAGAGAGAGAGAGAGAGAGAGAGAGAGAGAAAGAGAGAGAGAGAGAGAGAGAGAGAGATAGAGAGGATGACAGCTTGATTGAAATTATGACCTTGTTCTTTTCTTGAAATTGTGATTCCTCCAACTCCAAAACGGAGGAAAAACAATGGTTCATCGGAAAGACATCCGCAATCATCATTTAGATCTAGAATAGATCTAGGCTAGCTTCGAAACTAGATCAATGATTTATGTCTGTCTCTCTAGATCTAGACGTAGGCCATAAATCTAGAAGAACCTAGATCTAGGTCTACCCTGAACCAAGAGGGTGCTGAAACTTTCCGAAATCACAAAAGAGTTCCCCTACCGGGTCTGTATACTTTGTGACTTTGTTCCCGGTTACCGGGTCTGTATACACTAGCTTAACTAGATTTAGTCTTGGCCCTGTTGCACAATGTAAATCTAGAGATCTAGATCTAAATCTAGATCTAGTTGTATAGATATATCACTGCTACTCTGTACTCTAAAATGAGCATGAAGTTTTAGAAATGAGTAAGCCTATCCCAAGAACTTTGTTAACAGTACATTCCCCTTTTTAGATCTGGTCCAAGACCAAAGAGATCCAGAACACAATCATCATCATTCTCTGACACTATGGCCGACTATGGGCTACTCACTTCTAAAAAGTAAAGTGCCAGCCATCAAATCTTGACACTTACTGGTAGGCCTAGACTCTAGATTCTAATTCTTAGTAAATAAGGAAAGCTAGAGACTAAAGACAATTCTAACCGTGCTATATAAATATATTAATAACGGTAGTAAGGGCTGTTAAGAGTTGTAACAGTAACAGGCTAGACAAGGCTGAAAGCCCAAGGCCAAGGCTTCAACACAACACCTCCACCCCCCTCTCTCCTCTACTCCATACTAAATTCCACAGTTCTGTTCAAATGTTAGACACAATCTTTAATAAGCACTAGACTATAACTCATGCTCCTTGGCGACCCGTTGTGGTGAACATCTCTAAACCAATCCGAGAGCAATACATCACAAAGTAAAATGGATCTTCTACTACAAAAGACGAGCAAGATGGCCACATTCGTCGTAAATTACGAATTACGGCTGAGTTGTGCGCCAGATGACTGAAATATACGTCTATGACAGACAACGTGGAAGTGATGACTCATTGAAGAGTTGAAGCTGAAGTCTGCAAGCAAGCAAACAGTACACAAAATGTGGAAATAGGTGGAAAATAAACAATTTACCTTTACACCGTGAACGCCGACTCAACAAGGTTTTTTTACATGCCTGCTGGGCTCCGTACGTTGTCAATGTGTGACACTGCAGCACCTCACAATTCCGATTCGAAACACATAGTCTGCTGAGTCACCTTTCACATGAAATTAGTAACCACAAGGAGATAGATTGGTTGTGAATCACAAAACTAAGACTTGAGATAAGCAAAAACGTAACAAAATTGTCTGAAATCTAAAATATGCTAACAAGCCCGGGCCAACGCAAGCGTCCTGTTAGTCCACCATACTTCCCAGACCCGTGATAAGTAATGCATATGGTAATTTCGGAGGTCACAAAGCGGAAGTGAAAACACACACTTCTTGTCTAAGGGAAGTAACCACAACAAATTTCCATAAGAAGAAAAGTTTTGAAGTTGATTACGACGTTTAACGTACATGCAAAACCAATTACCAAAAAGTTTGACAACAAAACTTTGATGTCAGCCATACATATTCTTCACAGCATAACTTAACATGTACATAAGTACCTTCAGATAATGCATAAACATTAGGAGGAAAACATGTCCTCCCTCCTCGAGTTACCGTGCCTTGCCGTACGGCAGAGCATTCCATTCCCATTTTTACATTCACTTGTTTAACCAGATACTCACTCTTTCTTGAGAAATGTGTCTCGGAATAAGGTTGTCGTATATCGTCAGAACCTGTTCGGTATCTTCGTCTCTCAAGGCACTGCCGAGGAGAAACGCATATTTACTGTCTTCTTCTACATGTTCCTGCGATGTATCCATTTTCTTAGGTAGCCATATTGGAAGAAAATACTACCGTCGCCAAGCAAGAACTTCTCGCGAGAATGGCCTGACAACTTTACTTCCGGGTCAGTGAAGAAAAGATCGAAAGAAGCAAAAAGGGCTGGGCTGAGATCCGCTTTCTAACGGTCTGGATTGTTGGGTCGTCCAATATGACAGGCTAAATTTAGATCCTGAGTTTGAACTCGACCGACAATTTCCTTTAACCATTGACTAGGCTACTATTATTGTTACTACGTAGTATCTTTTAAGTAGGAAAAAGTAAAAGTACTGCACTATACAACATAGTCTGTGTCACTGCACACACTGGTGTTTCTGTAGGCCTTGGTGAACATTTAATTAAGTTCAACCTGTTGGGATCTCCTGAATTGATTATAATGAAAATTGGTCTTCTACATTATTCCAACAGAAAGCCTTTGAATTCAAGACGTGTCTTCTTTAAAGCATGGACCTTGCACAAAATAACAATCACTGCGAGGTCTTTTA